TTCCTACTTTGTGAGGAATTTGAGTAGTTAACCCAACAATTGAAATATTATTTATATGCTTGGTATATCTCGCTCTTATAGTCTACGGGTTATGCTTAAGAAACCGTGTCTCAAAATCGATTTTTATCGATAATATGAAAAAAGGAGCAGATTTTGAAGGAAAATGGAGCTGAATTCTTATAAACTTAATATTATAAGAAAACATGTTTTAAATTAGTTAAGTTGATATATCGATAACAGCAATTGAAAGTAGTAATCGATAACTGCAATCGATTACAACAATAGATTACGGCAATTGATAACAGCAATCGATAACTTCAAGCGATTACTGCGATCGTTAATTGAAATCGATAACTGCAGTCGGTAACTGCAATCGATAACATAAATCGATAACAACAATCAATTACAACGATAGATTACAGCAATCGATAACATACTGAACATTGTTGACGACCATTTTGAACATCCGATGAGCTCCTCCCGCAGGTTCGATCAAAGATAAAATCGATAACTTTTCTCATTTAAGCACTTATTACGCAGTCGTTAGCACCCGATTGCAATTTGGTCGCTTGTTTTTATTTGATTATTTATCCTATTCGATTGCACAAGAGAAACAAAATAAATACACCAATTTTGTTGCACACATGAGAAGCCAAGGATTTGTATTATGGTAAAATGTATTTTTGATACATATGAAGGTACTTATTTTATTATAAATATTATTTTTTTCATTTTTGGCAACGGAATTCGATGTTGTTTCGCATCTTTTATTTATATTTAAATTGTATTTGGGCGCACGCGGCGTATGCTTCATAATAATATCACTTAATTTTTATATTGTTTTTGTTGTTAAACATTTTGTAAAACGTTGCGAATAATTCATGGAATTCTCGTGTGTAAATAAGTAATTGAATAATTATGATTGCATAATGGTATGTACACACACACACACACTCACACACACACACACACTCACTCACACACACACACACAGATGTTAAACAATTTGCTTTGCACTTATTTAGATTATAAAATTGTTACATTTAATTTGTGGCTGTCAACATTGTGAAACGAAGCGAGAAAATATGGAAAATGTGGGAAAAGCGCTGCAGGGCAGGAAATCAGATGCATGAGATACCCTGTCATGAGATAAAGAGTGTGACGATAGAAAAAATAATGGAATATTGTGGAAAGAAAACCTGCAGGGCATGAAAGCAGATGCAGCTGCACATGATATACCCTGTAAGAAAAGAGTTAAGGAGCGAGAGAGGAAAACCCTGCAGGGCAGTAAAGTAGATGCAGGTACACATAATATACCCTGTAATGTGGTGGCATGTACAAGACAGAAGAAGAGAGCGAGAGCGGGATGACAGGAGCGAGACAGCAAGGATGGCCAAATATATTTCTTTCAAATAAACCAATTAGTGAAATTTTGGGCTTAGAAAAAATAAATTTAAAAGCAAAAAAGAGTGCGCTAGCTGGGTATGCCCGACTAGGCAATACACTCAACGCAGCTGTTGCAAAAATTCTAGCTATCTTTCTATAAACACACAAAGTCACACACTCACACACGCACACACACACACACACAGACACACATATCTTCTTTCCTTAGTTCCACACTATGTTTGGGTAATAGATTGTTGCTGACCTTCGGTGCTTACAGTCCGATCTCTTGCAAGCTATCAGGCCTAAAGCATGGCATTACCAGAAACAAGACTTAAGTTTAAAAAGCGACTGCACAGGAAGTTTAAGGTAATGTGGAATATACTTATAATGGTAAATATCACGGTCTCCAGACTCTACTGCAGCTTGTCGAGATCGCGAAGTTCGGTCAGGGAGACAGACAGACTGAGGATTCATTGATTGATTCATTGGCAGACGAATTTGATGAAGGGCAAACAAAAAAAAAACAGCTTAGCTGCTCATTATAATTGAATTAAAATTCGATAATAATCCGTAATGCGTTGATAAACAATCAAAAAAAAAGGGACAGCCACAAATGTTGTGCAAAGGGCTGCCAAAGTTAACAAATATATTAAATGCGATCGAATATTATTTGCAAATATTATGTGTGTAAATGATTTGTGAATATTATTTGCAAATATTCGGAGCTCATTAAAAAGCGCGTTTTTCAAGGAAATTAAGAGCAGTTCCGACATCAAATGAATACAAATGTTGTTATTTCATCTACAAGCTGGCTATCGCGATGCCGTTCCGCGGGATGCTCTTTTCGCTCTGCTTCTCTGTCTGTGTGTGTGTGTGTGTGTGAGTGTGTGTCTGTATGGGGGGGCGGGGTGTGGGGGGTTCAATTAAGAATGTGCATTGCGCATACGCCGCGTGGGCGAGAGTTACTTTTACGCTTTATTTCGTTGCTGTGTGAGGCAACAAAGTGCAAAAACGAACCAAAAAGCGTTTCATTAACTTAATTAACTTTTAATTGAAATTGTTTGACAGACGCGAAAAGCATGCGCGAGTGTGCTTTCATCTTTTAATTGCAATTTGAAAGCAACAAAAATAAATACAAAAAACAAAAAAAAAAAAAAACCAAAAAATAACAGCAATTTATAACAATAAATTGCCAAGGAATGGGCCGCAGGTCGGTCCGAAATGTGTCTAATGGCAACAACAAAAATATGCACAATGAAAATGAAGTGAAGAATTTTAAATTTATAAAATCAAAAAAATCACGTCTTTTCGCATCAGCGGAGGCCTTGAGCTGGTTGTCAAACCGTTCTTTGTTTTATTTTTTATTTGTTAGTTAGCTGGCAGCTAAGGTACCTGATAAATATTTGTTGAGAAAGTATGTGGTAATTACTTGTAAGTTGTTGTTGACTCCGGAAATTTATCAGTTAGGTTATCTCGCTGTTAATTAGTTGAGTTTGACAGTGTTGCCACCTTGCAGTAAATCTGGCAACGCTTGTGACACTGAGTTTAACACATTGCTAAACACTACTTCGATTACTTATCGGAAATTTAACTTTCTTGCCTGCTAACACTTAGCAGGTAGTAATTATTTGTTGAGAAAGTATGTGGTAACTACTTGTAAGCTGTCGTTGACTGTGAAAGTTTACCAGGCAGCTTATCTCGCTGTTAATTAGTTGAGTTTGACAGTGTTGCCACCATGACGTACATGTGGCAACGCTTGTGACACAAACTTTAGCACGTTGCTGAACACTAGTTTTCTTGCTTATCTATATTTTCACTTTCGTGGTTGCTTAAATTTAGCTGGCAGCTAAACTAGCTGGTACATATATTTTGAGAAAGTATTTGGCAATTACTTGTAAACTGTTGTTGACTGTATAAATTTACCAGGCAATATATCTAGCTGTTTATAAGTTTATGAGAGAAGAATGACATATGATAGATACCTATAAGATGTTGTTAACTCTGAATATTTACCAGGCAGTTTATCTCTCTGTTAATTAGTTGACTTTGTCACCTTCCCGTACATCTGGCTACGCTTGTGTCACAGACTTTGGCACGTTGCTGAAAACTGTTTCGCTTGCTTATTTGACAAACAGCTGTTTTACCTGCCAACATTTAGCCGGCAGCTAAACTAGCTGATAAGTATTTGTGACAAAGCTTCTGGCAGCAATTTGCACTTAAATAGGAACTCAATCAATTTTGTGATCAGCTGTTGTAGCTGAAGTAACTTTGAATAGTTCCTAAACTTTTCGCTGAGTGTATTCGTAAACAAAAAGTTTTGTTGTGCGCCTTATCCACGTCTGGCTTATGTTCATATGCATATTTATTTACGCTTAGCCCCCTCGTCACCGGCGACTTGCATTCGTAATTAGTTAATGTGCCGTCGCAGTCAGAGCCTAAGCGTCGCAAGGCTCCCAGGGAGCGGAAACCAACCAACCAACCCCCCCCCCCCCCCTCCTACAGTCCCCACCGCATTTGTCCCTGTTGCTTATTAAAAAGGTAAAGACAAAAAAAATATATATATATATACGCCGCTTTGAGGCTGTGGCTGGCCTATGCCAAGTGTGCTAGGCTTTCAGGCCCCCCCCCCCCCACCAACACCACGAACCGCGCCCCTTTTGCCGGGCCGGCGGCTGCCTTCTCAGCTAATAAAGTATATATATACACATATGGCTGGGACGGGGGTCGAGAGCTGGGTCCTACATATGCCAGCCTTCAAAGCAAGATTTTTGTGCTTTATTTTCATTTGCTTTCCAATGCTCTTAAAAAGGGTATCTTTATTTTGTCACATCTAAGGTATATATGTATATATTCTTGAACAGCTTCAACAGGCGAGTCGATAGAGAAATAAGGTTCGGATTACTATATCATATAGCTCTGCAGGAAGAATCGGTGGAAGAACTTGTTCAAGTGTGGACAACTTTTTGGCTTATCATTCGATTTATCTAGACTAAACTCAGCAAATACGATCCACAGCCATTCCCTAACATATTTGTTAAGCTATATCAAATCGCACTATATCGTATATCATATATATATATATATATATATCGTTGGAATATAAAGTTCTTGCATGATTATACTTTTATGCCAAATGTCTGCAAGTGTATTTATTTTTCGGTGTGCCTAAGCTGTGAATATTAACTTTTTTTTAAATATATTTCTTACAGCCGCCTTTACACATAGGCACGCACAACACACACACTCGCGCACACACACATTTGCATGCATAATATGTGAGAGTGTGTATTTTTGTATATGTTGTTGCCCCATTATGTGTGCGTGTGTGCCGTGTGTGCTTGTGCGGAACAATATTTAAAATGTAAGCGTTTTACGTGGCGTATACTTAATGCATTAAGCATACGCCGCGTTGAGCGGCACAGAGCTGCGGCGCTGACAAGCAAAGCGACGCGAAACAAATTCTTTTCATGCAGCTCAGCTGCCACAGCTACAAGCTCATCGTGTGCGTTCTCTTCCTCTTACTCTAACTCTTACTCTTCGTCTTCGTCTTCTTCTTCATCATATTCATCTACTACAAACAGTTCGTTCTGCCTTCTCGCTCCTCGTTGCAGGTGAACGTGAGCAACACCTGGACCATGCCGCAGGAGGGCTTGAATGTGTTCTATCGTTTCTTTCGTGATCGCATCTCCTGGTTCGAGGCGGACGCCGTTTGCCAGTTCCATCATGCCAATCTGGTGACAGGTAAGCGACAGACAGTGCCCGGTCCGGGGGAGGGTATATGGAGAGTCACTGAGGCATAAGGCAGTCGACAGCTAGCCGCAAAGTCAAGTCAAAGACGCGACGTGAGGCTTTAGTTAAGCTTGCAGCACAAAGAGCAAGATATTCAATACATGCTGACATTGTGTGGCAGCAGCAGCAGCAGCAGCAGCTGCAGGGCGAAGGGCCGGAAGAGGGGTGGATGGGGGGGATGAGTGAGCCAACCGACAACTGGGCACAACTGGGCTGACAAAGAGCGTGTATATAAAGCAAATGGTAAACGAACAACAAAATGTGAAATGCAAATAAGCCCAATGACAACGAGAGCAGCACACATTATACGACGCCCCCTTTTGCAGCTAACAAAGCGCTGGGCGTGGCAATAGGGAGCAGGTCAGGGCAGGACAGGACAGGGCAGGGCTGGGCAGGGCAGGAGAGGACAGAACTGGGCAGAACAGGTTGAAGCGTTATTGCAAATGTCCGGCAGCTGTTGTGACAAGGCAGCCCGGTTGCAACTGCAAAATGACGCAGCCAAAGGTCCAGAGAGAGTCAAGAGCCATGGCCTATCCAGGCACAGACACAGACACAGGCTCAGGGGCAGGGGCTGGGGCAGGGCAGGGCACAAGGCCACGCCCAGTGCTGGTGTGTCTAACGGCTGGCCAAAGGACCTGGGCGCCAGACTATATCATATGCCTGCCCTCAGCTAAACAATAAATCCTTTTGACAAATACTGGACACTGCAATGCGGGCAACTCTACCTACCCTAAGGAGTAAGGGTCCGAGAAGGGTCGGCGAAGGGGGGGGGGGCAACTAAATCAACAATGGATCAGCCGAACGGCTCGTCGTGCATACGGTCCTCCTCGTAAATAGATAAGTATGCGGTAAGTAGATTGTTGATAAATTGTTCCAGCCACTCGAAAGACAATGAAAATTGTGCGAACAGCTGCGAAAATCTGTGAAAATCTGTAGAAAAAAAAAATCTGAAAAATAATCTGATGAAAGCTGCCAAAGCTGATAAACAGCAAAATTGTAGAAAAGTACAGGCAATTATTTATGAACTTCGCTCTAAGTAATGAGTAAATAATTAATCTTCCGTTTCTAAAGCGCAGCCTCAGCTAAGTGTAAATTCCAGGGTATATATAATACAGGGTATATATGATATAGTGTGAGCTAAGCAGACAATTAAAGTTAAGGTTTAGGTTCTCGCAACGGGCAAAGGATTCGGTCGGAGTAAAGCTTTTCCAAGCTGAATATTTAAGATCTGCACAATGCTTAAAAATCTATAAATATATCACAAATATCATCTTAAGGATATATGTATATATATAATACATAAAGAGATGATTATCGATGGGAAGTAAAGATCGCTTAATTAGTTTTCATATGGAAAACTCTTCTATAGATAGATATTGATAGCTTGATAAAGAACTTCCGTGTTTGCCCAACATATCGCAAAAGCCATATCGAAGAGGTTTAATAAAAGTATCTCATGGCTCGCTCCTATAGGAACTATCAGTCGTGAATAAAGCCGTTCCATTAGATATATCTTAAAGTTAATTTTATTGCTAGGATATTTTGAATATTTGACTGAGCATGCAGGGTAACCAGATCTTGAGCTCTGCTGCTTTGTCTGCTCTCAAGACAAATCAGTTAAGGTCCTTGCCAAGGATAACACATCCCATTGAATACCTATCGAAAGCACTTGGACATGGACATGCCACAGGACATGCAGCGAGAACTCCCCAACGTATTTCTGACAAATCTGACTCGAATACTAAACTGGCTGATTGGATTGCATTGTCCTTTATCCTTATAAATAGATTCATATGTTTTGCTCATCGTTTCCCTCGGCTTCTGCACGAATGTTCATTCGAGTGCACAATTTTCCTTGGGTCAACTAGCCGATAAAGGGGGAGGGGGGGGGGGGGGGCGGGGCGAATTGGAGGCGGGTACGGGTGTCGGTGTGCATAAACAATTTGAGGCGCAGGGATGCATGTAAATGTGTGAAACAACAACAACAACAACAAGAAGCACTACTATAAGAAGAAGAGGGAGAAGAAGAAGCAGAAGAAGTTGAAGCAGAACTGCAAAGTACAAATAACAGCGTGTACCGAAGAAAAGATAAGAAAAAGCAAGGCAAATAGAAGAAGAGGGAAAAAAGCAGGGGATGCTTAATGCTCAAATGGGCGACGAGAGAATACCCTGTACTCAATGCTAAAGTAACTTATGCTAACTATTTAAGTATATATATGTGAGTATTAAAGTATAATTATATTTTGATAATACATGTATATATTTAAATAGGCGACTAGCAGATACCCTGTGTTCAGCTAATAAGTAATTATGCCTAAAAAAAGGTGAGACTTACTGACTTGTACATACCCTGTATTCAGATCTTTAAAGGGTTAAATATGGTAAGGTATGCCGTAGTTTGTGTCACTGACTGACTAATAGATACCCTGTACTCCATTCTGCAGAGCCTTCCATTGCAAAATATGCATTTACTCATATGTAGTTGCATATGTTGAAACTGAGCGCCTAGAACATAACCTGTTTTTAAGACTTAGGTAATTATATAAATAAATACGACTAGCAGTTACCCTATGCTCAGGTCTTAACTGGCTTGTAAGGAGTCATATATGGTGGAACGGGGCAACAGGACAATACTCTGTACTCAGGCTTATAGTCGAATATATGGCGAAGCTGTCAGACTAGCAGATACCCTGTACGCAATGTGATTTATGGCATATGTAGCAGTAAAAACCACTTATATCTTTTTCTTATATTTATTTCCTTATATCTTGAAGCCGTGACTTTGACAGACCTTAAATATCTAGCCAAAATCATGCATAAGAAAAGCCCTTTAGCTTCAGTTATAGGGTATCTGCCCGTCGAACACTCTCCAGCCCAGACAGATGTAACATCATATTTTGTGTGTGTTTTCTTTTGTCTTGTTTTTGTTCGTGCAAATATTTGTAGCACGGGAAACCAGCTGGGAAGAGGCAACGGGTTAGACCAGCAGCTGTCTGGTTGGATCCTTCGGCGGGCGGTGGACGGGTTGGGGCTGGGCTTGGGTCTGGGCTGGGTTTTTGTGGTCGTGGCGCCGCAGTCGCTGGCAAATGTGCCGCATGGCTAACACGTAAAAACAATGCGCTGGGCAAATTAAATAGGAATATTCGCATTGAACAAATAAAAACCATTTGTTTCGTTTCCATTCTTGTGCTCCCCGTTTTGTTATTGTTTCTTTCTCATTTTTTTCTTTTTTTTTTGTTGTTGTTGTTTTTGCCTGCTTTGTTATTCTTTTATTTTTCTGTTGTTGTGTGTCTGTTTGTTTTTTTTTGTTTTTTGTTTTTTGTTTTTTATGTGCTGCCAGTCGACAACAGTTTTCAATTTGATGCAACTCGCGACCTGCTGCGGGAATTGGATGTGAACGACATCGTTTGGATTGGACTCATGCGGCCGCAGAACTCGGATCGCTTCATGTGGTCGTAAGTACAACAACAACAACAACAACAAACAACAAACAACATCAAAAAACAGCAAAGAACATTTTATTGCAATTGTGTCGTTCGTGTTGATATTTGTATTTTTGGTTTGCGAGCAATGATATGTGAGCGCTTGAATATTTGCGTGTCCCAGTTAAAAGTCGTTGACAGGACTAGCGAGACGGGCTGCCAGGCGAGCAAAGCTTGAACACGATTTGAACCAGCGTTTTTCCCTTTGGTTCGGATGTTTTTGTTAAGTTTAACAGCCTAATTAACGTGTTGAGATACTTAATGCTAACTTGCCTTTGGGCCATTTGATTAGTCATAATATTGATCCTAACACACAGTTTATCCGCATGTTAAATATACAACCTGCAGTGTTGCCACCTTGCAATAATAACTTAGCACCCACTTTAACATATTACTCTTACTTTAATACCAAGTGTCTGTCAACATTTAACATGCAGTTCAGCTTGCTGTTAAATATTTAACCTTTGAATAATATTTAATTACATCGAGCAAACCAAAAATATGTCGATAAAACGTTTCCAAAAAGAGTCTATATATAGAGTATATATTTGACCCCTGCTTAGATCATAGAGTATATAACTATTTGCCATATACAGCAACTCACGACCCTTGGTGGTGGACACCGGCTACTGGGCGGAGTCGTTGCCGCTGATGGACGCGCCTCTCTGCGCCGTTATCGATCCCATTCGCGACTATCGTTGGCATGCGCTGCGCTGCGGCGGCCCCGAGACCGCCTCGTTCCTGTGCGAAATGCCAGGTAAGTGTGATAGAGAGAGAGGGAATGAAAGAGAGTGAGAAAGAGAAAAGAGATAAAGTGGGAAAGTGAGACTAAAGGTAGGAGAGAGAGAGAGCAAGAGAGAGAGAAAGAGAGCGAGAGAGAGAGAGAGAGAGAGAGAGAGAGAGAGAGAGAGAGAGCGAGAGAGAGAGAGAGAGAGAGAGAGAGAGAGAGAGAGAGAGAGCGAGAGAGAGAGAGAGCGAGAGAGAGAGAGAGAGGGAAAGAGAGAGAGAGAGAGAGAGAGAGAGTGGAAGAGAGAAAAATAGATAAAATGATAAACTTAGAGAATATGTGTGAGAGAGAGAGAGCGAGAACGAATGAGAGACTGAGAAGGAAAGACGGAAAGAGAGAAGAAGAGAGAGTGAAAAAGCAAGAGTAAGCGTACGAGTAAGAGGTTTGAGTAAGAGTAAGAGTAAGAAAGAGTTTGAAAGAGAAGGAAAAGAAGCCCGAAAAGGAGAGAGAGTGATAGAAAAATGAAGAGAGTGAGTATGAGAGTAACAACGAAAGAGGGAGAGAGAATGAGACAGAGAGAGTCAGAGTGATGGAGCTAAAAATGTAGAGCAAGTGCCTGATGGAACGTCTCTTGTTGCGCACAGTGCCCAGCTGGGCGGATGCCTGCATCCTGAAGGAGATGCCCAACCTGACCATGCAGTACATGGCGGACACGGCCAGCATTGAGCTGATTAGGAACTGCCAGGAGGAGGGTCTGCTGCGGCACAGCTGCAAGGGCAAAGAGGTAAGTGGCGGGAAGAGGGAAGAGGGGAGAGGCGAAATCATATAGCCAGGACGTTCGACATTTATTTGCAGGATCGAGAGCGGGCCGTACGCGAGCTGATCTGCCCGAAGGAGCGGCTGGAGGCGCAACGCATCAATGACATCACGAACTCGCACTTCAAATCGCTGCAGATCATCAAGAGCATTCGCACCGACAACAACGAGAACAACGACATCGACCTGTTGCCCCTGGTGGCCAACTATGCTGCCAGCGTCATGAAGATCGAGGTGGCCACGGCCGCACCGCCGCCACCGCCGCCGCCGTTGGCGCCAGTCGAACGCTTCAGCCTGGACAGGCTGATAATGCCGGTGGCCCGTTATCACATCCCGGACGAGGTGCCCATGCCCGTCAAGAAGTCCGCCAAGAAGGTGAACCCAAACGATGAGCACGCCAAGAAGCTGCTGGCACATCATCAGACCCAGATGCGCAAGGCCTCGACCACAACCAAGCCCACAAAGACGACTACGACCACGATATCGCATCTGGACATGATGATGGGCGATCAGCCGGCGCTGAGTGAAGAGCAGCTGCCGGAGGATGTCAGCGATAGCGATGTGTCCAACGAGATATTCCAGGCGTTGCCGCACAAGAAGAAAATATTGCCGCAGGACCTGAGGACAATGCCGACCATAACTGAGGCAACAACAACAGCAGCAGCAGCCACAACAACAGCAACAGCAGCAACTGAGGCAGCAATAAGGGCCAAGGAGTCGACCATGGCAGCAGCAACAACAACAACAACAGCAGCTCCAGCGACAACCACAACAGCAGCAACAACAACAACAACAACAACATCCACAACAACATCCACAACAGTAGCAGCAACACCCATGGCAGCAACAACAACTTTGCCGACATCAACAGCAGCACCCACAACAACAACTACAACAGAAGCAGCAGCAACAGCGCCACCAACAACAACAACAACAACAACAAGAACAACAACAACATCGGCGCCATCAACAACCGAAAGCAACATTATGATAACAACAACTGCAGCAGCAACAGCAACTCCGGCCTCCCCAGCCGTAGCAACGGATGTGACAATGGAAACGGAAACAGATACAACAGTTGTTGCCGCCACCGGCAACACTTCCAATACCTACGGCACCAGCACCAGCAGCAGCACTACGAGCACCAGCAGCAGCATCACGAGCACCAGCAGCAGCAACATCCCAACCCCAACGACAACAGGAATGCCATTGGGAACGTCAACGACAGTGGTTAGCATTGCACATCCCATACATCCGGTGCAGCAAAGTCGCGATGAGACTGCCCATCCACATGTCAAAGAGACGGCGGACAATTCGCACTTCATACCGCCAATGTTGCTGGTCAAATCGCACTATGTGCCGCCGTCCAAGCATGGCGAGCACGGCGAGCACAAGTCCGAGCATCTTGCTGCCAATACGCTGGCAACAACAACAGCTCCGACAAGCCATCAAAATGTTGCTGGCGTGACAGCAGCAACAGCAGCAGCAACAGACGAAGTAGAGACGGCAGCAGCAGCAACTAAAATGACCCAAACTTTTACAACAATCAAGACAACAACAACACCAGAAGCAGCAGCAGCAGCAGCACTCACAACAACAACAATGACCGCCGGAAAAGTGCCTACTACCGAGGCACCAACAACCGCCACAAAAGAGACAACAGCTAATGAAAACAGCTCGAATCCACCAGCAACAGCAGCAGCAGCAACATCTGCTGCTGGCGAAATGAAGGGCGCCACAAAGTTGCACTTGGATAGCGAGAGCGAGACCGGGGATGGGGATGGGGATGGGGTTGGTGGTGAGGATGAGCTGGAGTTAACGAGCGCCACAACACGACGCAACTTCCTGCAGGAGGAAACTGAGGCGCCATTCAAGCCAAATCGACACCGTTCGCTAACAAAGCCGGAAACCGTCAGCTATTTCAAGAAGATCTTGGGCTAAGAGCAGCAGCAGCACCAGCAGCGACTGCAACTGTAACTGAGGCGACTTTGCAGTTAACACATATTTCCGACTCATCCACACCCATCAACAGCCCCCCATCCCCCGTGACCCATGCAATCTAATTGGTGTGCAACAAAAAAAAATATCAAAAATCATAGCTGCATTGCCAGCAAATTGAATCAGCTCATGTCGTTGCCTGATTCCAGCCACCAACAACAACAACAACAACAGCAGCAGCAGCAACAACAACAACAACAAAAATATCCACATTCTGGCCAAAGTTTGTAAAACTTGGCTATGTCCGCCCCCGCACGGCTCCACACCGGAAACTTAAGCTGTTAGTCAACGCCAAGCGGAAACGCAAAGCAGCCAAAAGAAAACTCAAGCATAGTAGGAGAGCAAGAAAGAGAGAGAGAGAGATAGATAGAGAGAGAGCGAGGGAGAGAGGGCGAGTGGCAGCAGCAGGTTCCAGTTGGGAGCACCAAATATGTCAATTCTTTGCAGCACAAACCACAAAGTAATACACCACCAATACACACACACACACACACAGGCACACACAGGCACACAGTGACAAATTTAGGCACCAGCAAAGTCTGTCGAAGTTAAAGGCAGTAAGAGAAATAAAAATAAATAAAATAAAAAAAAGAAAAGAAAATGAAAATGAAAACAATTCGAGGAGCAGAGGGAAAGGTGGTTGCATACCAAAGGCCAAATCTTAAGTATGATAAATACTATTATAAATGTTTACAGAGCTATTCGTAATATACACATAAGATACACAACCATTGCGAGCGTCTGTTTCGCCAAATTTCGTTTACTCTAGCCCAAAATAAGAACACAAAGCCGGCAAAAACAAAAAAACAAAAAGTAACGCACCAACTACGTAATACTCCAATAAAAGCTCAAAATAGGCCATACATTTATTAGATGATATCGATTTTCGCGAATATTAATGTTTGTAGCACTTCAAGCTCTGAAACTGTGCAAAATATCGATGCAGCGATATATATCGATCTTATATCAATAAATATATCGAGATATACAACAATCAATTGATATATTTATATCTATATATGTATCGATATGTTTATATATATCGATAAATCGTAATACTGTTTGTAGCACTTCAACCATAGACATCAGTCAAAATGTGCTCTGAAACTGAAAAATATCAATGTATCGATATATATCGATCCTATATCAGTATATATATATATATATAGATATATATATCAATCAATTGATAAGTCTATGTATATATATATATAATCGATATGTTCATATCTGTCGATATATTGATATTATCTCAGCTTATTATCTTTTATGGGCAAATAGATGAGCATACATACACGTATATAGTAGTATCGATATGTTTCGATAATATATCAGTATATAGATCGATATAGATATCAATCAATTGATGTATCTATATCTATATATCTATCGATAAATCGATCTAATCTCAGCTTATTAGCTGATGTGAGCATATAGAGGCGCATAATTATACCTAGTTTCAAGCTACGCCAAAAAGGCGAACAGAATTTGCACAAAAACTAATATGAAGGATATCGATGTATCGATATGTATATAGATATCAAGCAACTGATATATCTATATCTACATATTTATCGATATGTTTATATACATATCGATCTATCGATATTATCTCAGCTTATCCGAAGTGGGCACATAGACAAGCATAAATAAACCTAGTTTCAAGCTTCACCAAAAAAGCGAACAGACTTAGCACCAAAGCCAATATACCCCTTCGCACTTTGCACACAGGGCATAGAGAACCGAAAGCGAAAAGTAAACATTTGATTCGCATCGGGCAAATCTATATATGGTTTGTGCACATCATTGGATAATTGAACTGGCAGTCTATTAATCAGAAACATTCAAGTATTAAACATAAGTATTACGCGCGAAACAGGCCTCGTCAAATCTATATTATGAATACAATCTACACACACAAATGTTGTAAAAGTTGGTGTTTTTTTTTTTGTGTCCAAATATATATATACATACATATATATGTAGAGGCATACACATGCATATACTTATATTGTAAGATTGGATTGCAGAGTTCTGCATAGTTATTAGTACTCAAGAACGGAGCAGCAGCCCTGCAAATTGGTCGAACGATTGAAACATACCTAAGATTAAGACAAATGAAAAGCATAAATAAAAAAAAATACAAAAAAAAGAAAGGCACAATACTTTTCCAAGTACACCAAAAAGAATAAGAAACAAAACAATACAAAACCCAAATCCAAGTACTTCAAATGTCACTTGATCTAGAGAATTATGTACTCACAAAGAAATAAAAGTAAAAACAAACCAAAACATAAATGAAATACAAGTTGATGTCTAAGAAACGATTGCATGAATTTCTGGAGTCTAGCGCAAAGTCAAGGCCAGGCAAGGCAAATAGTAATGTATGCGTAAATAGTATAAATGTCAACCAAATAAATAATTCAGTATGAATAAAATCTCATTAAAAAAATATGTTTATATCATTATTGGGAGGTATAAAGAATATAAATAAAAGGCAGCCTTCGCATGGGGAGAGGCAAGAATGGGTTAATTATATCTCTCAAATAGACGCCTACTGCTCGCAAAAGCGTTAAGAGTTAAATACGATTTTGAAGCACATTTTACATAACAACTTCAGCTTGATAAGCTTTCAGTTTTGATAAGCTTTCGTTGAGCTTTACGCTTTAAAAATAGAAGGTATAGCGAAAAGCTCACCGGAAGCTCATTAAAGCTCGAAAGATCATATTCAATATACATACATATTAAAGCATAAAAGATCGTTGAATATTTTCTGAAGTAAGCTTTCAGCGAGCTTTTCCCTGCCAAGCTTTTGAATGTGCTTCTGCCCTTATAGAAAACTGTAAGCCTAAAAGCTTTAATGAGCTTTGTTTTCAACTTATTTAAATGTGCGACTTGAATGAAAATAATATTTAATCTACTTATGAAATTGTCAAAGCTCGTTAAGGATTTGCTGTAAAGGCTAAGCAAAGCATTTTCGGCTTATGTTTCCCAACAACCCAATACGCATTTACATAAATATATTAGGTTACCTTTTATATTTAGCCAGCCACAATAAAACGTAAATGACACTTTAGCTCTTTACAAGGTTTTCTCATAAGCAGCTTACATTGGCAGAGTATAAACCAAATTCGACATAATTTCTTTAACAGAAGTTGATAAAAAGCTTATATAGACTTATAATTCCCAACTGGTGCACATTTGGTTGTGGGGCTCGCTTTTACTTGAAAGTTCTCTAAGAAGTTGTCACTTTTACACTCAGAATTTGTTCGGTGCGATACAAAGAGGAAATTTCACTTTTATAATGATTAGAGATCCAAAGAAAGCTTAAAGAAATTCAAGCAGTGCTGCTCTATGCGCTTGTTTAGGTTTTTTTTACCTATAATTCCCAACTGGTTAAAACTCAAGCGAACCTAAATGCTTGCAAGCAACGCTGAAGTCGCACAAAATATGAATTTACGCAAAAAAGAAAAAAATATATATGATTTAATATGAACTGTTGAAAATATTGGCTACGCGAAGTACAAGCAGATTTAAGTATGCATAAATATTGTATGGATGGAGAAAATGTTTTGTATTTCAAGTGCTTAGCATGCATCAAAGGGAACGACTTGGCATCTCCCCCTGCTGGACGCGCACAGAGTAAAGCACATTGAATCGGGCATATTCTGCAGTTGAAAGCTCTGCCAACGTCAACATTGCTTTCCGGTGGCCGATGGTCGTTGCCTCATGCCCCCTCATGCCGCATGCCGCATGCCCCATGCCGCATGCCCCATGCCCCATGCCGCATGCCAGACCAGGCCTCGCTGCCTCGTTTGCCGCAGGCACTCTACTTTTTTGTGTAGCTTTTCCCTTTTAGCGAAAAGGGCAGCGATGCGGCCAGATCCAGTGGCAGTTACAGTCAGACAGCCAGAGCGATAGACAGAGAAAAAGACTGCGAGAAAGAGAGAGGGGAGGGTGAGGGTGAGAGAGCTGGACAGACAGCAGCCCGAGGTCCTACTTATGATTGCCCAAAATCCAATGAAGCGTTGACGCTTGCTCCTGGCAGGGGCAATTGCTGTCATCGCAGAACAGTTTTCTGGATAACCAACGGAAGCTTTGCGCCATACGGCAGCACCGCACAGCGGGCGGCCAACTTGCTGGCAACCCCCGCGACCAGCCCGCGCGACTGTACTTGATGGCCGTTTAAAGAGCGCTCGACCTTAAAGCTCTGGCTCTGGCATTATTTTATTTGCCAGACGCCATGTTTGTTCTTTATATTAAATTCATATGCTTAAAACTGTAATTTCTTGTGTTTGCCGTTAATCCTTTGCTCTGTGCGTGTGCGTGTGTCGTGTGTGTGTCGTGTGGGTAATTCCGTGGGTGTTAAGTAACTTTTGACTGACGGGCGCGCAGCAAATATATTCCAAGTGCTTTCAGCTCTGCCAACCTCCTTATACCCTTTTACAGGGTATTATGAATTGGTCAACACATAAAGAGTAGTATATATATATAGATATATATGTATGTATGCATAGTCTTGATCAGCGTTAACAGCTGTGTGCATTTGTCCGTCTGTCAATCTTTCTATCGGTCAGATCGGAGCGCTATATCCTATAGCTGCCCTGGACAAAATAAATGATCTTTTCTTCCTCAATATGGTATATCTCGATCAAAATTTCCATTTACAAGCTCTGCCATACAATTAAATCCGATCAACATCGGACTACCTACCATATCATATAGAACTATAGCAAAAATCGGACAAGAATTAAGTTTTCATATGCAAAACTTTTCTGTCTACATTGATTTCCCGATCTCCTTTATATTCTTATAGCTCCTGGAGAAGCAAAGCCGCAAGTGTAGTCGGTCTTCGGTGTGAGGCAGCTAGACTTAGTTCTCTCTCTTGTTTTATTTTTATATTCCACTTTTATTTCACTCGCCAACGAAGCGTTTTTACAGTCAACGTGGGCCAGCAAATTAAATGCAGCTGACACACATACCGACATCGGTGACAGGCGCACAGACATGGAGACAGACGGCGACACGCGTCCAACAAATGAGAATCATTTGGCGTAAAATAAAATGTTTTATTAACAATATAAACGGGCTGGCGGGGCTGGCGGGGCTGGCAGGCAACGGGTAAAGAGGGCATCATATGGACCTTAAGTGCGTTTCACGGTGCTTTCGAGATGAGCGCGTGTCGTGACTTTTTCGTGTCACGATGTGCAGCTGGTGTGTGTGGGTCGATCTATACCCTGTTAATATCAAATTTGTATAAAGTTCCATAAGTATATTTTCCAAAACTACTCGAAATGTTGCAATTTTGATATATATCGATTTTGAGAAGAGGCTTTTTAAGCATAGCTCAACAAATATAAGAGCTACTACTACTACTGCAAATATTTTACTCTTTGAAAGCCTTTCCTGCTTCCTCAAAAATTGGATAAAAAAATTGATTTGTAAGACTAGAACTGCGTCTTAGTATATAAATGCTAACGTACGCCATATTTAAGAAACGAAATTTTCATTACGATCGGACTATAAGCACCGAAGTTATTCAAGAGTGCATTTTTCATACGCAGGATGGAACAGGAGAACTTCTCTGTCTTTCTGTCAGTATAGACAAGATTTGAAATTGGGAAACAAGGTTTTCAAATAGCTACCCGTTTTCCACACCCTCTGATGTGTTCAGAAAATGTCTGTTTTCAGCCCCGATCTTTAACAACCATAAGAACCATACGCAAATATCAAACATTTTTCACTTATTGAATACCTGCCCCCAAAAAAGAGTACAGAGCTCTTGTATATATCATTTATGATAGTTCGCAGCTGGATACAGGGTAGCAGCTAGTTAGGCAGCTTAAAAGCCGAGCACACTCAGCTTATCCATTTATTTAAGCATTTGTTCGAGGTGGCAACAACTGGCCACAGTTATGGGATTATATGAAGCGACAACCCTACAAACGCATTGCCACAACATTCTCAACATTTGCCCTGTT